TATACATATAGATGGGATATGTATTTCGTGGTTTAAGATTTAAACAAACGTTCGCCAACTGTTTCTTTTCGCGTTACTTCTTTTTTTATATATATAATTCTATATATATATAATTATCGACTCAGATGGCCGTATGTTTTTTTTTTTTTGTTTTCTTTACAACCTCGAGTTCCGTACGTCTGAGTGGTATTTAATGCTTATTTTTTTGTCAATCGTGTTTACACAAGTGCTAGACACTAAACTTGGAATACTGTACTTCGTTACAGACTCACCTTCTACATGCTACAAATTACAATTTGATTTTTTTTGTACATAGAAGAATCTCTGTTCCTATCGTGGGGGCGGGGGCGGGTGGTGCTGGAGGTGGTGAATTGGAGGGTGGCGGTGGGTGGTTCGGGGGACGAGACGCGCGAACCAATATGTTTCGTGTTCCGGACGACCGCGTACTTGCTCCGCTGCTCTTTGTTTCTTTGTACATTTCGTTTTCCCTTCGAAAAAGAAGCAGGCGATTTTCTTTCAGTTTTTTTTTTTTTTTTTGTATATTACTTGTTATTTTTTTTGTTCATTCTAGCGAGACAGGTGTTGCGCATCGTTCGGAGAGAGAGAATTAAAAAGCGTATGTACAGCGGGACCACATGTGAGAAAGATGCAAGACGGACAAGATCTTGCCGCGTCCCTCTGTCGTCCGGAACACGACTCGCAATGCGAGCCTCCAGTTACCTGTTTACCCGGTGGCCAGGGTTGGGCAGCGATTACCCGGCAAATTCCATTATTCCAATGACCATACGCGACCGTTGGATTAATTGGTAATCGTGCATTCGTAATCTACAAACGCAGATTGGTAGCTTGTCATGTTTCGGAGTCTACGTCTGATTATTCGTCGACCACGATCACTGATTGCTCAGAAATCGTCGGTGTACCGAGTATCCAGTAATCGTGATCGTGGATTACACGTTGTCCAACACCGCTGGAGACCCGTCCCCCGATGACGCAGCGCTCGGGGGGTGATATCGGTTGGGCTCGTCTTTAAATTTAACCCTTCCGCCGTCGGTCGTTCTAGGCGCTACGTCTCCGAGAGACAGCCAACTATCGCTGGGAAAACCATTGTCTAGTCCTATCTCTGTAGTCGTACTTCTAGCCTTATCTGTAGGTGGAACAAAATCGACTGGGCTGCTCGAGGCCACGCCACCCCCGTTCTGAAACACAAACTCCGACCCCTTTTCTGTGTCAGGTTGCATACGAGGTGGATGGAACGTAGCGACTCCGAGGCGTAGTCATAGTTTTGCAAATAAACGCATGGCCTCTTTGGAGTGCAGGGGCCTTTCATCCCCCTTGCCTTTTATCGTGCCGAGTGGTAAATTTAGTTGCGCTTGAAATCGTTTAATATTTCTGCACCTTAGAGGAGCATGAGTCACGTTTAATTTTTTCGACTTTGCTCTGTACGAGTCTAGAACAATTCGTGGCGAAACCTAGGCATCTGTGATTCTTTTTTAATACTACAAATCAGAGGCTCTCACTTCTTTAAAGCTAAGAGCATAATTTATAAGATTCCTAATCTTCACGAGGTCGTAACACTGTTCCGAACTGTGAAGCTTCAACTTCTATGTACACAATTTTAAATGTAAAATTTTGTGGAAGAAAAATATATAAATATACACTTGCGCGTAATGTGCAACGCACTTCAACCTTAAAAATATATATTCATGTATCGCTACACGAGCAACATTCGTCATAAACAAAGAAGTTTGCAAATCCTCTGTCAGTATAATAACAATTTTAAAAATTCTACAAAATAAATTTGATTAGATCTGTTGACGACCGTTTGTTAAGAATCTATACATAGAAATATATGTTCATGTATTGCTATATTAGACATCTTAAATTAATTTTTTCCTTATTCAACCTAAAAAATGGGTCGTCAGCAACATTTAATTTACAATTTCGGGTCACAGACCCGGGAGATTGAGAGCCTTTGATTTATAGAGAAAACACTTGACACGGTTCTCAGTCATCGGTAATTGCAATAACAATTTTCACAAACTATAAAAAATAAAACATCCTGAGATCTGTTGTCAAGCTTTCCTTAAGAATCACTACTACGAAGACATGGGTTCATATGCCTCCGAAACATTGCTTCAGAGACCTATTAGGCCGTGAGGAATGTTAACGATAACGCTGATTGAATTTATGAGAAATACAATTCATTTTAGTGACGTCATATTCCATATCTCCCAGGTACAGATTTGATATTTTTGAATAGAATTAATATTTAAAATTGCCTTTCGGATAAGATAAGATTCTATGTGAAATTATGCTTCTATATGTAGTAAATAAAATCTCAAGGCAAGAGCTCAACGCAATCTAAAAAGTGTACATAAATTTCTTTTCACCTTTCCACTACGTTACTTCCACCTGTTATACCTCGGAGAACAATTTATGGCACACGGATCTACGCGAAGAGGTATGAAATGGAGCGGTGGGGGTAGCCAGACAACGTGGTGGGGAGGCGACCTTGGCGGTCTCGAGCCGCCAATTAATTCTGTCTCGACTCGACGCTCCCTAGCGTTCCAAAGAATTCGCGACGTGTTCGCCAACGTGTATAATGCGCTGCATCCACTTCACAAACAAATAGAGGTTCATCATCGTCGTCATCGCGGTGGTCTAGACTCTTAGATCGAATTTAGGATCGTTCGCGTGATCGATCAACGTTACACGACGGTGGGAAGAGCTAAATGTAAAGGTGTCGGCCTGTTTTGTACGCGAGAAACGAAGCGAAGAACGGAAAAAAGGATCTCGTGGGACGTTCTTTGAAACATGTGTTTGCTTTACTATTTTGCGTACATCGCGCTTAGGCGGGTCCAGTGTTTTTTTTTTCTTTTCTTTTTTTAAGAAATACAGCCCGGAGAACGTGTTTTCTTGAAGTGTGTGTTCGTTGTAAACGTGTACTACGTGTAATAATTTTTTTTTTCTCTATTCGTTTAAATGTTTACTTCACCACGCTCAAATGGTATAGGTAAAGCGTCAGAAAATAAGCGACAGTCTGGCATGCGTGCTTGACCACTCAAATACATACACGTTGGTGTCTTTTTTTTCAATCTTGCTTTCTTCATTTTTACGTCTATCTTTGTCACACTTTTGTTCTCGTAACGTGTACCTAGCGTACACCACACACGTTGAAGCGGGGATTTTCATCAGGAGGGCATCGTTCAACCAAAGGTACACGTACCAGCTCTCTCTCTCTCTCTCTCTCTCTCTCTCTCTCTCTCTCTCTCTCTCTCTCTC